ACAACACATAGACATGCACACACACACACACACACACACAGAGTACACAACACATAGACATGCACACACACACACACCACACACACACACAGAGCACACAACACATAGACATGCGCGCACACACACACACACACACACACACACACACACACACACACACGAGGGAGTGGTATAAACACAGGTCTTGATTACATTGAGTAGAGGGAGTGACCGCTCTCACCAACACCTAAGAACTTCCTCTATTTTGTAAAAAACCTCTGACCCTCTCCTAACTTTCAGAAGGCGCCATTGCCTGCTAAGGGAGAAGAAGGCTTTGCCCCAAAAAGACACATGAAAAGCAGGGAGGGACGAGGCAGGCTTTTCATGGTCCACTGGGACAGATGGCAGATAGCTACAAAATATGTTCTCAAGGCCTATTTTTTTTCTTCATTTTGGCTTGTTGTGACAAGTGAAGTTTTTAGGCAAATAAATATATTGGATCATAATTTACCCTGAGTATTAGGATAATTAAAGCAGTGGATTTCTCCATCCCTTTTATGTAAGAAGTGTCTCTCTGTGACATGAGTTTTACTTTGCCTCTGGGCTTCTTTTTAAAATTGAGACATAATGTTTGTATATCATATAATAACGCACTCCCTGTATACAATGTGTAACAATCAAACGAGCTAATAAGTCCTAACAACCCGTGTACAGGGGCTCAGTAAAGAAGGCACCAAAATAGCTCCATGGTGGGGAGCAGTGTGGATCAGAGAGAACATGCAGAGCATCTGGAAGAGTCCAGAGCAGAGAGGAAAAGGAAGCAGACCGGACGTGGCCAGGGCTAGGGAGATGGAGGGTGGGAAAACCATTCAGGTTATAGGGAAGATGAGTAGCTTTGGGGAGAGAAGCCTGTGAACTGGATCAGCCTGCGAGTTTAAGGTAGAGGAGGAGATGAGAAGGGCCAGGATGCTAGCATGAGGGCTTTGAAAAATATACCAGGTATTTGTGAATAGGGACTGTAGGAGCCTGGAGGCCAGCGTGGGCTTTTATACGCAACCACAGTTATCTGGAGAAACATGTCCTTCTGCCAGAGGCAAGGAAAACGGCTCCTTTTGGCAGAAGGGAACCCAGTTCATAAGTTCCTGAGCAATGATGGCTTTCATCTAGCTGCCAGAAATCTTTCTCGAGTCCAGCTAGACTCAGTTTTGAATCAAGTCAGTGGGCCTGCCCTTCAGGGGGGGAAATAGGGTACCCTTTGGAGCTGATACCATCAAAGTGCATCTGGGTTTCATGGTGAGGCACACAGAGAAGTACAAATACTGGTGTATCTCCTCCAATGCAAATAGCTTCTACTAAAGATAAAATCAGTGTTGCCGGGCGGTGGTGGTGCACGCCTTTAATCCCAGCACTCGGGAGGCAGAGCCAGGCGGATCTCTGTGAGTTCGAGGCCAGCCTGGGCTACCAAGTGAGTTCCAGGAAAGGCGCAAAGCTACACAGAGAAACCCTGTCTTGAAAAACCAAAAATAAAAAAAAGATAAAATCAGTGTTGGCTCCATAGCAGTTCATGAAGCAGGGGAATTATTTTATTTTTCTCCCACCGTGTATCACACACCGTCTTTTAGTGTGATTCACCTGGATATCACTAGCCTGAGGCAGGTTCTGGCTGACCAAACCTCTGGCCCTGTAGGCTTTTATAGGCTTCAGGTACACTTGGGGCTTGTCTGCCATAACAGCCCTTCTGACCCAAGAACCAGCTCCAGCTCTGGACAATCCTATACTCAGCTCCACACCCTCACTGGCCTCCAAACTGTGCTGTGGGTCGCCAGTGTAAAATAATAATCCCAGGCAGGCGTGATGGCACACGAATCACATCTCTCAGGAGGTAGAGGCCAGCAGATCTCTGTGAGTTCGGGGCCAGCCTAGCCTTCAGGCCAGCAAGGATTTCATAGTAAGGACCTATCTCAAAAAAACAAAACAAAGATATTAATACCTTTTGAAAATACACATTTTATTTTTATTGTATGTATATATATGGTGTGTGTGTGTGTGTGTGTGTGTGTGTGTGTGTGTGTGCAGGTATGTGTGGAGACCAGAGGTTTACATCAAGTGTCCTCCTCAGTCACTATCCATTTTAATTTTTTTGAATCAGGTCTCTCACTGAGCTTGCTGATGATGCTAGGTTTGCTGGTTACAATTGAGCCACCTCCTCCAAACCATGAAAATACACATTTAATTTTATCAAAGGGTCTAATGCTCAAATTTAAAATCCCTAGTAGGGATGAGAGCTTAGTGGAGCAGGATATTTCAGAATTCTAGCCATGCTGATCAGGCTGAGCCAACTGATTGCCTATGGAAATAGCGAATAATCTGATAGAAACATCACCTCACTGCCAGCTCTCAAGAAAGATGATCTTTTTACATCTTGGACCATACCCTTTGGGGCTGATATGACACATGTCACAAGTGGCTGAAATTCAGCCAGGGAAGCACAGAGTCAGTGACGGATGGAAAAAAAGGATGTGAAATCCAAGAGCAAGTATCAAGACGAGGCTGTATGGAAATATAGTTTTATATATTATATATAATTTATGTAGCATATGCCATAAAGAATATAGTTAGTGGCAGGTTTCAGACAGCAAAGGTTGGGAGCAAGAAGGAAATAAAAAGATTATTCACAACAGTTTCTCTATGGGGTGATCAGCATAAGTTGACCCGATTGCCCCTTTGGCTTTTCTGATTTATACCAGGAGGCAACAGATGCTCAGATATAATCTAATTAGTGTTTAGCCTTTTTGGGGGGACGATGCTTTTTGGGAGGGTCTTATTTTAAATTTAGATTTGGAAAGTTCCTTTGGGTTCTTTTTTGGAGTGCCAATTTTCTTATTTATTTATTTATTTGTTTGTTTGTTTGTTTGTTTGTTTATTTGCTTTTTAGACAAGGTCCCATTCTGAAGTTCCCAGTGGCCTAGAAATTGTACTGCCTCCTGTTGAGCCTTCCAGGCGCTGGCTTTACAGGCAGGAGCTACCACACTCAGCCAGTTTGTTTCTTACAGAACTGTGTTGTGAGATGTTAAATACAAAATTCAAATCCCCAGCACCCACATAGCGCCAGGTAGATGCGATGGTCCACCCATCTTCACGGTACTTGGGAGGCAGAGACTGGGGATCCTGCCTAGCCAGGTTAGTCGAATTGGTGGTCTCTAGATTCAAGTGAGAGACCCTGGCTCAATATATGAGATGGAGATCAGTCAACAAAGACACAGACACTAACCTCTAGCCTCTGCACACACACACACACATGCACATGCTCAGGAGTTCATGTACACATGTCCAACCATCTGCACATATGTGCACCACGGCGCGCGTGCACGGACACACACACACACACACACACACACACACACACACACACATGCGCGCGCGCCAAAAACAAGAAAAAGTTATTTCTTTTGTAAGTTACTTGCAGGTACATACTACTAGTAAACAGCATTTGTAAGAAGCAAAGAAAAATCTTCTTCACCTTCCAACAACTGTTACTGTTTTGGTCTTGCAGTTGCCATGGCCTTTTGGTGAAGGTCTAACTTACTTGTGTTCGGGTAAGACCATACTTTTGTATGAGTTTTGTAGGGGAAAGCTAATAGGAGCCCAGGCTGTATTTCTCTCTGTGTGGTGCCATATTTAGTCCTCTGCTAGGCACAGAGGACGCGCTGGTAAGCCAGACATGTCAACAGGAAGAAGGAAGGTTTCACAACTTGGCAGGACAAGACAGTGAGTCAGGCCTTTCTGCTCCATTCCCAGCCGGCCGCACACGGCTAACTGGACAATCTGAACGAGTCACACCACACACTCAGCGGCTGCTGTCTGCATCAGCGTGTACCAAAAGGAAACGAACCTGGTGACTTAACTGGATCCAACTTAAAGATTAATGAGTGAGTGAGAAATAACCGGAAGTACAACCTTATTTACATTACAGACTAAAAATGTAAGAGATGCTTAACTTACAAATAAGGATCTTTAACCTGGGTTAGTGGCATTCCTAGAAAATTCTATACTGTTTACTATTACAACTATTAATTAATTTTATCCTTATCAGAATTATAAAGTAAAATAAAAATTTTAACATATGCCCCAATTCCAAAAATTTCAGGTTTCTTTTTTTCTTCATATTTAGGAAAAACTTCCTCAACAATCTCTTTTATTTAATTGGGAACTTGTGGACTAATTGCCACTATTTTAATTTAATTAAATTGCATAGTTCCAGGCTGGGGAGATGGCTTGGAAGTGAAGAGCATAGACTGCTCTTGCAGATGTCCTGAGCGCCCCAGGACCCACGTCTGAAGGCTCATAGCCCCTGTAACTCAAGCTCCTCGGGATCTGACGTTCTGACTTCCCCCAGCACTGCACTCATGTGCACTCGCCCACACAGAGACATGATTTAGAATAATAACAGTAAATCTTTTCAAGGAAACCTTTGTAGTTCCTATTTTTAGTATTCCGTGTTACTTATTCTTTCTTCCTTTTAGGGGCTTCTATTGATTCCATTCCCGTATTTTTTTTTTTTTTTTTTGGTTTTTCGAAACAGGGTTTCTCTGTGTAGCTTTGCGCCTTTCCTGGAGCTCACTTGGTAGCCCAGGCTGGCCTCGAACTCACAGAGATCCGCCTGGCTCTGCCTCCCGAGTGCTGGGATTAAAGGCGTGCGCCACCACCGCCCGGCTCCACTCCCGTATTTTAAAGTTATTAGCATACAGAGTCTTGGGTCTCACCACATCATTTTCCAGTGTGTTTTGTTTTAGGTGCTGCTTCGCCCCTCCCCCATCTCACTGCCCCCACCCCCATCCTCTCCTCATCTTTCTCCTGCTTTCATGCCATTGTGTCCTTTTGCCTCCCCCGCTCCGCCCCCCCACCTCTTCCTCAGCATCTCTCTTCTTATTTTATTTTGTAATTTATTTTATATGGATGGGTGTTTTGCCCGCACGTATGTTTTAGGTATCAGGTGCATACCTGGTTCCCCATGAGGCTAAAAGAGAGGACTGTATCCTCTGGGACCGGAGTTCCAGACAGTTGAGGCCGCATGTGCTGAGGGAAAAAAAAAAACCCAGGTCATCTGGAGGAGCAGCCGGTTCTCTTAACCGCTCTCTTTTGGTCTCCTTTAGATCTTTAGGCTCCACCCACATAAATATACATGGGAGAACATGAGGATTTTGTCTTTCAGATGTTGTGATTTCCTTTTTCTTACAGATAGTACAACTCCATTTATATATGTAACACATTTTTACTACCCATTCACCTGTTGATGAGCATCCAAGCTAGGTCCACTCCCTAGCCATTATGAGTATAACAGCAATGGATGTGCAAGTATCTCTGTGGTAGAATATGGAACCACTGGATATATATATATATATCCCACCGGAGAGGTATAGGTGGGTCATGGTCATAGGGCAGCTTACTTTCTTGGTTTGTTTGTTTGTTTGTTTGTATTTTTTTTTTTGGTTTTTTTTTTTTTTTTTTTTTGAGACAGGGTTTCTCTATGTAGCTTTGCGCCTTTCCTGGGACTCACTTGGTAGCCCAGGCTGGCCTCGAACTCACAGAGATCAGCCTGCCTCTGCCTCCCAAGTGCTGGGATTAAAGGCGTGCGCCACCACCGCCCAGTTTTGGGTTTTTGTTTTGTTGTTGTTTTGTTTTTCTTAAGAAGCCTTCACAGTGGGTAATGGTGGCTCACACCTTTAATCCCAGCACTCAGGAGGCAGAGGCAAGTGAATTTCTGTGAGTTCGAGGCTCACCTAGTCTACAGAGTAAATTCCAGGACAGCTAAGGCTACATAGTGAAACACTGTCTGGGCACACTCGAGGTTGGGGGGGGGGTCGTGGGATGGACTATGGACGGACAAAGAATCCTCCATGCTGGGGCTGGAGAGATGGCTCAGTGGTTAAGAGCACGGGCTGCTCTTCCAGAGGACCCGGGTTCAATTCCCAGCACCCACATGACAGCTCATAACTGTCTATAACTCCAGTTCCAGGGGTTCTGACACCCTCACACAGACATACATGTAGGCAAAACACCAATGCACATAAAATAACAATAAGTATAAAATTTTTAAAAAAGAATTCTTGCGCCGGGCGTGGTGGCGCACGCCTTTAATCCCAGCACTCGGGAGGCAGAGGCAGGCGGATCTCTGTGAGTTCGAGGCCAGCCTGGGCTACCAAGTGAGTTCCAGGAA